TCTCAGTTTTAAGCTCTTTCACATGCCACATTGTGACGTCCCTCGTAAATTCACCAGCCATTCCCTCGATCTCCTTCTCCCGCATCGCCATTTTTTTTTTCTTTATATTCGCCTTACCTTTGACCACATTGTTGCTTTTCTCAGAATACTTGGGGCTGTCTCGAATGGGTATAAATATAACTCCTCATTTCGCGCTTGTGAAGTTTAACAGCAATGGCGGGTAATATACGGTCGGTTGTAAAAATACCAATTTCAAAATTTAATCGTTTCATATTTTAAGGGTAATTTATGGGGCAGAGGTAGTTTGCGTGAGCATCGGAGTCCTAGTCGCCAAATATGCAACAAGTTCGAGGGCTGTAGGTGGAAACTGGGGGATTTATTTTCTTCTATTCTGTTTAACAGCTTTTTCTCGATGAATGGGGAAAGAAGTCGATAAATTTGGGAATTCAGGCATTTGTATGTAGATGAAACGATTTTTTTTAATTATCGGGAATTTTTAAGATTTTTGTAGCGATCTCTTGAAGATCGTTGATCCACATTCAGATGGCAATTAAATTATTTTATTATTTGACCTTGGTGAATAAATTGAGAACAAACGCTCGTTTCGGTGCGGAGGGATGGAAATTAGATTGAAGGATGATTGATTCATTGGTGATTATTCATCTCATCATCCGGGGTGCCGTCCAATTGCTCTTGAAATGAATTGGCTATTGACATTGAAGCATGGCAATCGGGGATCGGTAAATAGAACATAATTATATCAGCTTGATTCGATTGAACAATTCATCTCATTAAACTCTCTCAAATCATCAAGCGCGGCAAATCATCGAGATCTAGAAGAAAGACTGAAAAAAAAATTCTCAAATTATCTCCATAAAATTCTATATCGAATTTCATCCATTTTTGAAAATAAATAATGTTCTGCATTGTTAAAAAAAAATTGTGGAAAAAGAGCTAATTTGATTTTTCCCGAAATTTTCAGGAATTTTTCAGTTGTTATTGTTTTACTATTCTTGAGCCAATGTTATATTAACCGGTGGAGTAAATTTCTAATTTCCACAATGATAATGAAAAAATGAGGGGTGAAAGCCCCTTGGAGTACGCGCGCAGGGATCTGGTGAGGTCCTCGAACCGTTAATACCAGACCTTCCCCAACTGCAGGGAGAATGGAACGAGATAATAAGATGATGCGGGGAAACCCGAGTAGACCAGACGTCGGGGTAACCGAGGGTGAATACAACATGTGTACTTTAAATATCAAACGAGAGAAAAATACCCCGGGAAAAGGGGTGTTAATCGTCATCGCGTGCTGTCTGGCGGTAAATCCACGTTTCCCCTGCTGCAAAGAATCTTTTCAATATCCCGGGAATGTTTTCACGTAAATTGCAAGGAAAATTCAAAAAATTCTGGATTCAACGAATTTTTGTGTACCCCTTCAATTCATGAAATTTTCATTTCATAATTTTTATACTAAAACAATTAATCCAGCGAAATTTCTATTTCAATTTCGGTATGTAATTTTTTTCTAGGAAGAAAGACATTTCAAGAACTTGTGGTGTAGTAATAAATTTTTGAAATAGTCTGAAAGTAATTAATCCCCACCAGAAAAAAAAATCAGATCCGATGACGTGGCTGCATCCCCTGACGAAAAGAGGGTAGCTGTTTCGATCGCCCTCGAACAAGGCTGAAAGGGACGACTAGGTCGTGCTGTACTTCAAGTATCAGGGGTAGAGGTTCAAAGGTTCTACCATAGTTTGTTTTCTTTCTGTCCTCGTTGCACCCATTGATCTGTCTGCCATGTTCGTTGAGGTCATTCGAAAATCTTCAATGGATTATCTGAAAATTTCAATCCATCCACCCCAAAGCAATGAAATAATGCGTATAACAATTTTAGATCGCGATTGGGGGATGAAAAAAAAAATGGCATTGTCACTGGTGAAGGTAGTCATTGGTATATAATTTGGTAACACTCCAGAGACGTGAGCTGTGTTGTCCAGGGCAACGTTTCACTCGATCGATGGGGACGTGTTATCATTCCATTTCGCTCATGGCAACCCCTCCTCGTCTTACCCCCATTGGGATAGGGCGTCTCTCGTTGTTTTGCGCAGAATTGCGCGCCGGCGTCTCCCAGGCGTGGCGCAGGGGCAACAGGGGGTTATTCTCATGAATGCACATTGCAAAAATGTGGCTAATTCATAACAAAAAAATTTAAAAAAAATCGTTACAATAGAAAATAACAATAACTTGATCCAATAGGTTGACCTGTCAAAATAACCCCCAGTGATTATGAATGGCCGATCAGTCGTCATTACCACAGTCAATGCTAATGAGGACAATGAAAAATTATCGTCTTCTTGATGTGGCACGTGAATCTAGGTTTTTTGGGGAAAATCCATCAGTCTTCAGGAGGAAATCAATCGACCATTTACATCCGGTACATCCAGGGCCCACTCACCCTGGATACCTATCGGCATAAATAATTTGATATTGCATGGATTAGTTTAAATATGGAGAAACTGCTCAGCTATGTAAGATTACCCCCTCGTCGTGGATGTACCGTGGATTTGGGTGCTGCGAGAGGCCGATGGAATGCCTTCAGTACTTTGGCATTTACTGTCAGAGTGGCGGCATCACCACGTTGTATTGTTATCATTCCGTCTCACTTTCTCGGGACTATCGACCGCCAGTCCTCTGAGCCCCTGGCATCCACATTGAAATACACATTATATTCCCCTTCGTTTTTCCCGTCATCGTATTTAAATCATTCAATCCTCACATTTTCATCATTTTCGAACATGCCTAACGTGGAAACTCCGTGAATACTTAATTATAAAGAGAATGGGAATTATTATTGGAATTATTGAAACGATTGAAATATGGATAGGAACTTGAAATAGGTCGGGGACAACTTCGAGGTAAATTCGAATTTTTATTGTACTCCCACACTGAGAGACTGACGTGGAAAGCTGGACTACCTCTTGGTCGTTATAGTGGCCATTTGTGATTGTTTTTGAGAGAAATATAAACATCTCGAGGGAAACTATTCTGGAATTAGTGATGCGCAAGAGGTGTACACAAAGAATTGCAGAGTGAAGAGATGACTTTTTCGGTGGAAGGGGTGGTAATTAGACTGGTAACTTTAGTGAGTGATATTGTTTGTCATAGGCGTGTGACATTTACCGCGTGCACGTGGCGCAGGCGTGGGTTTGTTGTCTCTCCATCTCCGTCAGAACAATATCCGGTGGTAGTGTCATCTCTCATGGAGAAGCTGAGGATGTTGGTGGTGTGGCTGGTCGGCCAACGGCCGCTGCATTTATTGAACCGATTCCATTCGGCCTCTTGGTTTCTCTCGCCTCAATTCCCCTCTCTAACTTGTGATCGCGTCAGTAGTCTCTGATATTTCCCCACCATCTGGCATTTCCCCTGCATCCCTCGAGCGCCTCTTTCCGCCCGGTGATTTCACAACTACCCACACACACAAATCCCCACTGTTTCGCTTTCATTCTGTCTTTTATCACTCGTGCCTCGGGGCCCTCACCACCCACCCCCTCCGAGTTTCAACGCTATTCTTCTCTCTTCCTTCCGCCGAGCTTTTGCTTCATTCAGGCTTTCTCGCTGGTTCGTATTCTTCTGGAGTATTACTCGGTTACTTCGTTCCAATTCTTTCGCTTACAACGAGGGACTTAAACATCCGGCACACGATACACGTCGTTCGTTGTTTTCAACTGGCTGATGCAATACTTCCGGGCGAGGCCTTGCTTGTTTTCACAATTTTTGTTTTTGTTTTTTAGGGGCGTCGGCAATTTTCCAGGACAATTTTTACGGGTATCTCTGGGGACTGACCATCTTTTTTTTGTCCTCGATTTTTTGGTGAAAATTGAGGGCATCTTGAGTGAAGAACAGTTTCAAATTGGCAATTTTGGTCGAGGTTTTTGAGGTGCTCCTCAAGAATAAAATTCTCGAGCAGATGGCTAATAAAATAAAATAATAAAAAACCAGAAATACCTCGAAGAATATAACAAAAGAAATATTGGTATGACAAAAATAATGACGCAAACATTTCTTAGAGAAACTAGTAACTTTGCTATTAATTTTTTTTATACAGCTCTCTGTACATATTACCCCATCACAAATCCGCATCCAGATTCTAAAATGTTTTTACGAGTAATTCAATAACAGGGCATTTTCTTTCGGGTGGGAAGTAGTGGGTGGATGAAATGAGAGTCGGCCTACGCCTTTTGCGTCGGCGTCGAGAATAGGTGTTGGCGGCTGAGACGGAGGGCGAAGTCTCTTCTGAGAATGAGAATCGAGGGTTCGGAATTTCTTTGAAAAGGGTATTGATGAGAGGATGCTCTCAAGTCCTAACCTTGCCACGTGGAAATTACTTACGTCAATGAAAATTGCCTGGAAATCAGAACATTTGAGGTTGGGGGAGATGTAAATAATTCAAGGCCACGATTGATTTCCATAATTTATGAATATTATCAATCATTACCAAATAATACGAACGAATTTTAAGTTATTATCATTATTAATTATTTCGTTAGAGAAATTCCGTAAAATTTTTGAACGTCGTGAATTTATTTTACGATCTCAAAGAATCGTGGTGTGAAAATACATTCTTCAAATGTTTGCAATAAAAAAAAAATTAACTAATTCAAAATAATTTCAAATCATTTCCACCACTGCTAACGATTTTGTCGTGGACATATCCTGAACCCAGAGAAAATGGCGGTTTTTTGAGTGTGAAGCCTCCTACGAATACGAAATTATCGGCTCATTTGTTAAACTGAAAAAAATTTCGGTTTTTTCATTTTCACCGTGATGTAGTAACCAGCGGCCGTAATTTTTTCATTACTTCAGTATTTACGTCTGGTCGCGTCTCGAACACAATCGCCTCCATTCGTGTGACTTCGCGAGCACCCGACGTGCGGATTGTGCGCGTCGGGGTACCGCATTTCGAGTCGGCGGGAATCGTTAGGTTAGTACTACGCGAGGCTCCACAAGAGCTACACGCTGTCGCTCCGTGTTTACTGTTCTTTTTATCGATAAATAAAAAAAAAAGGACAAAGATTCTTCGTCTGTCTTTGAGTCTGATAGAACCCGAGGACATTGTGTACTTCGTGCTCGGGGGCCTCGTTTTTTCGCGATCGGGATTTACGTTCTCTGTGGTTTTATGACACTCGTGGATTATTCAGTACTCGCTGGATTTAGTCGTGTTCTCATGTTAAGACTCGGCCTTCTCGGAATTAACATCTGTGCGTTGTTTTGAGCTACGTTTGTTTACATTCGCGGCAACCAACATCAGTTCTCATTCCGAGAACGATTTTTCGTCAAGTGCGGAGTGGGGGAAATGCCAGTGTAATTAATGGACTGGGGCGATTGTGTGGATATTGTTTTCGGTTGTGTTTGTTTTTAACGGGGTGGCGTGAGGGGGGGAGGGGATTCGTGTCGATGACCTGAGTTTTTGGAGGATTATGGGAACGAGTTGGTGAGCCTCTGATCATTTTAACAAATATTTATTTACGGTCCGGTGCACATCTATCCATCCGTGTTTACATGCTTTTTTATTTTTACTTGATCGTGTTTTTTTTTCACGACTCGATTTTTCGTTGAGTCACTTTTCAGTGTTACATCAGTGGGACTTTTACTTTTTTGGGGAGACTTTCACTGGGGAGGGGGGCGAGGTTGGTTGATTTAATCGCGATTTGTCAAGGGTTGTGGATCTAATCTGAATTTGCAATGGAATGTCCTATCGGTATTTGTCGGAATTCTTTGAATTATCACTAGTCAATGTACCGTGGTATCGTTGACGCACGAGCGCTGGACTTTCATTCAATTTTTCTTTATCTCTCGCGACATACATTGCGTCAGAATTTATGTACCAATTTTTTCCTGATGTCTTGCTTTTTTTTTTCATGGGAGACGTTACGTGTGTGGCGCATGCCTTTGCGTTTTTTTGAATTCAGGTAGTGGTGGAGATAGCATTTTTGATCTCAATTTCAGTTTCTGTCTTATCGCGACGCAATATTTATCGGGCTTTCGCCGGAACGGCAGTTGCACGTCAAATATTTTCTTTGCGTTGGAGCGTTTCCAGTGAACTTGGGGATTGAATTTCACTTGGGAAATTAAGATTCTTCAGATTGAGTGCCCCACGGTGATCTCTTACTATCTTGTGACGTCAAGGCGCGAGACTCTGTGAACCGACACCTCGTGACGCACAAAACGGGACACTTGTTTGGCGGGAGCTCGTGACTCCTGACTCATGAAGATATGCCATTAAAAACTAGCTTTTATCTATTCGTTAATCAAAAAAAAAATTATTAAAACTCCGTATAACCCGGTATTATTAAATAACACTTCATAACTATCCGATACTCGGACATTTCGACGCAGAAAAAAATCTATTTCCAATTAATTTTCAATTATTCCGATAAATTGAAGCCACATTCATTGAATAATCAATTATTCTATTAATTAACACACAAAAAATTGATTCGTAAAATTGGAGAACGAGGGTGGGGGCCAATCTGAATTTGATACCGTTTCCGACAAAGGATTCATCATATGAATATTCAAAATGATGGAAGTATTACCGGCAATTTCGCTTTAGCCATTATAACCGGAGATTGGGTTATAGTCTCCTGAGAGGTGGCCAGGATGATCGTTGAGTTTGCCCAGAACTCCATCTAATCTCTGCCCATTCAGACCTTCATGGATTTAGCGTTGAGTCAGCAGTTTTAATTTAAATTTCATTGAATGAATCTCGATTCAGTCATCCCAATATTCTTTCATCGGTGGTGCACACCTTTCTGTTATCTTTCATCCATTGCAAGTAATCTCCGTAAGAAAACTGATCATTGCTAATTACATGTGGGGCATTTCATTCAGGCGGATTTATCCTGGAGATAGTGAAATTACGCTGGACTGTCATATTCACACTTCATACGCTACCAATACCCCCATGATCGTTATCGTGACACGACTGTTATTACAATTATCGAGATTATATGTAATCTCGAAATGCCCCGGACTTTTTCTTTTGTGATAAATTGATTATCGAACGCAATTTCCGCCGTGAGAATTCAATCAACAGTGCGGAAAATAGTTCTGTTGATCGTTGATGGCTTATCATTTCGATAGTTTAACAGGTGTTATCGCTGAGGAACTATCGGTTTATTTCCCTGTCTGAGTAAGTGGTTTTTTAATCCGAAAATCCCCGATGTTGTTATCTGGTTTATTTCAGTTTTGAAATATCTTTCTCATCATAATTTTCGGGAAGAAAAGTCATTTTTTTCAAACTACATTTTCTCCATTAAATTATCATTTATCTCGCATATAGGAAAAATTAAGAAATAAAAAAAACATGAGAGAGGAAAGTGACTTTTTTCTAAAATCAATTATTGGCAACAAGGATTCAGCCACAGAAGGATGAAATATCCAAATAAATACAACAAAGATTAAAAAAAGATGCAATGAATTTGGACATCTTTCATCACGACGAGCGCTCGTGTAGGTAGATTTTTGGCAAGCGTTAATCTTCATGTCACGTAAATTCCGTTCCCTGATACACACGTTACAACCCACTCAGAATTGAAGTCCACATGTAGGCGTTGTCGCTGACATACGCACACTCACGTGAATGAAATTCGGTACTTTACGACTGGTACATGATATACACCCGTCGGACAATCGGAAAAGTGCATTTTTCGACTAGTTGGATTGCTTCCCGTATTTGGGTGGGGTTTGTCGGTATTAAGTGCCGAGGTGAGGCATATGCGGAATTCGTGGGGAGGAGATATACCTGAATGACCAGTTTTATATCACCATCCCTCTCCACTCGTTTCACTCCTGGGAAGATATACATTGTACGAGATTAAGCGACTAGAAGTGACTTTTTATTCGAATCGGGGGCTCGTCCTGTTTTATCCACTTTCGCAGCCTCTGACTGACATCCGATATGTATGAATATGGGAACAAATCCTTTTTTTTTTCATTTTGCGGTGCAGTTTTATCTGACCCATATAAAAACCACATGCATCTTCGATATATTAAGGATATCCAAGTAGCTTTTATACTGGGAAGAAAAAATATTCCTCCCAAGCAAATACACTCGCAAAAACTAAACGTATTGAATTTATGTCTTGAGCAAATTTGAATTAGACCCCGTTTTGATTATCAGTCATCGGTGCATATGAATTCAAAGTAATATAATAATTTTCATTACAATTATCGCTGAAGTCATTGAATATTTTTTTTTTTTGAGAATAATATATACATGCACATGGACGAGAACTCATTCCCAATATTCTCTCACTTCTCGTGTGCAACCAATTGTCTGAGCATTCTGGTGCGAAAGATGGTCTTGTTCGGTGAAGGTACCAAAGACCTTTGGCTCGTTTGGTGCCCATCGTGGTACCTTTTGCTTATGACTCTTCCATGCTGTACTTCCATCGTCGTGTGTTCCAGGTAGACAAGTTCAAATGGTCACACGCGAAAAAAGAGAGAGACGAAAATGATGAAAAGGAATAATGGAGATTGAAACGAATGAGGGAGAATAAAGATAAATGCGGGGGTCGACAGGGGGGGGGGGGGGTTTGGTGGTGGGAGTGGGACAAAAAAGATATGCGGGGAAAAACGCGAACTCGCCGTGTGGTCCCAAGACTTCGCATGGGTTTCTCAACCAAAGAACGATGGATGTGACGGTATGCGATGGAATGGAGAGAGGAAAGACAACCGTGAACCAGCGAATGCCAGTGGTAGAGCAAAATACTCAATAAGCCGTAAAACTTCTAGCGCTACATGTGCTTTCGTATTCTCTTTTCATTCCTTTCTTAATGATTGAGATTGGCGCTTCTAGCGTGATTTATTATTTCGATATGGTTTCGATCGATCATCAATCGTCAATAGCTCACGATCGAACGGCTGGATTTGAGAAAATTATATCTCATTTTGAAGCTTGAGAGTGACTTTGATAATGACGTAAAATTCAGGGGATTCCACTCAGCCGTTATTGAAATATTCACCCGTGAACCGGTGATGATTTTCTTGGAGCATTTGTCTCAGAGTCAGATGAATTTTTCTGCTGAAAGCAATGCATCATTCGTATAAGATACAAAACATTATGACATTTCATAAATAATCTTGAGCCATTCATCAATTTCTGTGGGATATCGTTTGCAATTATTTGTGATTTGCTTGATCAATTCGTGGGTAATCAGTCGTACTAATTCCAAATCAATTAAAATTCTATGGAAACAGTGGATGTGAATAGATGTGCCTAGACTAGTGGTTTTTTTTATTTTTTCAAATTATTCAATTATCATACTTGGCTTTTGGATGGATAGCGCGTTTAATTTCAGAATTTTGCCGATGTTCTCAAACATTGCAGTTTGCATCTTCAGGGCTAAAAGCTCCGATGATCATTTTCGCGGTGGTGGTAGTAGGGGTATGAGGAATACACAATAACTTTTTCAATTGATCAATTAAAAAAGTGATTGGCTAAACCCTCTTCCCCCACAATCCTACCACAACTACCGCAAGAGATATATAAGGACTGCACTCTGATATCGGAGTTCAGAATCGGATATCTTAGCCCTGAAGATGCAGACTGTAATGTTTGCGAAACGTCAGTAAAATGCGGAAATTAATCGCGGAATCCATCTGGAAGCCAACGATGATAATAATAAACACGACCGCCAAAGTCGCAAAGCGGAAATCATTCAATTGTTTTATTTTTTAAAAATTGTTTTATTTCTTTTTCTTATTTAGACGTGCTGTGGGGATTAATTGTCGACCTGATGTGTCCGAGATTGCACATATCGCCGATCCTGTTAGAGACATTCAGATGATACGTTTGAATGGTAAACCGTGTTACCGGTATCATCTCATGAATTCATCGTCTGCCGATTGGCATATCGACGTGTCGTAACGATCGATCGATCCTTCTTCGTTTTATTGATCACTGAGGTTTATTATCCGGCTATTCGTGAAACAAACGCTAAGACCGAACGTCCGGGCCTTTTATTTTTCTTTTGCCAAACATTTCTGAATTGTTTGGTAAACGTGAAAAACGAACCATTTAACGGCGGTAGTGCACCCAGGGCTCAACAACATGGATTACAGACTTTTGTCGAATAACAACAATAATTATCCCACGCATCACCGTGAGTATTAAACACTTTATTATTCAGTAGAAAACACTAACAGGTATATCCGTGATTTATATTTTTAGTCATTTTGTAATTCATTTGGCAATCAGATTTTACGATGTAATGCCGCGAGAGAATGAAATTCTTCTGACGCAAGATCGTCGAAATTTTTTTATTTTTATTTCGGATTAATTGTCAACGAATGGATCTGAAATTTCTAATGCGTCAAGTCATTCGGCAGAAGTATTTCTCATCTCTTAACGCATACACTCACGAAATTCACGATTGACAATATAAAATGAGCACGATAAGTGTTACCCCGAACATGAACTAACTCTCGGTTAATAATTTATTGTACTGGGCAACCGAACATACCCATCGATTAAGTTTGATGTTCTCACTTCCTGAAGCACAATGACCCCCCGTATAAAAGCCACCTACACTGAATATTTAGTTACAATTTGTCTCATTAGCACAGCTTATGTATCAATTTACTTACTCGTATTTTATGTTCCATTGTTGCCATACGTCATGAATATGATACGGCTGTGTTGGAAGCATGACAATTCTGATAATTTTGCCTCTATACTCTGGAAGCTTGTTCATTGGGATTTTAAAAAATGTGTCCATTCTTCGGGAGTATGATATATTTCACGGGATTAGTGCAATATACCTTATTCTTCGTCTCTCATTTTAACATATCGCGTGAATCCTTTAGAATTTCAAAGTGTAAATCTTGAGCCAGAATAATCCAGAGAGATGAATGCACACGATGAATTCAGCGTGCTAATGCAAGACGGGAAAACCGGGAAAATTCAATTTTTTTTTCTCAGCCAGATGCATTCACAGGTGGTTCGATCCATTTTCCAATTGCTCCTGGGCTCAATTGTACAGAGCTAAAAAATACGTGTTAAGACCACTAATTCGGGATCTAGAGATGTTTTATAAAATCGTACGCTTGCAAGTAACATTAACAGGCTGTAAAAAATATTATGGTACAGCATCTGTTATTATTTGTGCATTCCAGCAGTACTCGCATTGAATACACACACCTTTTTTTCATTTCACCCGAAGAATTTAGTTAATTAGCCATTCGTAATCGGGAATTCGCGGGACCTTGACCTGCGGTACGAAGAGAACTTTTGTGAAAGTTTAAGTAGTCCTCAAGTCAATCGTACCTGGAATAGTGAAATAGCGTCTTTCGTAAATATTGAGAGCTCCACCTGTTCCTTATAATTTTTTTTCAAGCGATATCATTCGAGCCTTTGCACGTGGAGGAGAAATTGAGGGGTAGATCGATCAATTTTTATTATTCATCTGGGGAAATAATTACCTAGAATCGAAACACTGGTAATATAGATTATCAGACTGAATCAAGTAAAAAATCACCAATAATCGGTACTTTTTTTTTAGCGTCCATAAACTGAATCTCGTGTCCGTGAAATATGTCTTCCGGTGCGGTTTTTCTATTGCAAATTCGATGGGGTTCGTTTAATTCTGAGATTGCGGTGATATCAGTCGACCGAGGAATGTGGGCAATTTCACCCGACGACGCTTAAACTGTTTAGAGGCAAGCAATAAATCAGTTGCACGAGTGACTCGGTGACACTTTCGTGTTTTAGTGCTTCTCCAGTTGAATCAATATAAATGGTCAACGTATGAAGTTTAGGTTGAATTTACTCGGGGACTAAAGCAATTGGAGAATTTAGGTTTCTGCGTAGTATTGATGTTTCGGATGTTCTCAGGCTCAGCACAAGTAACAACGATGCCACATGTTTATTCATTCCTTCCATAATGTTAACTGATCGGAGATTCAGCATTCGTTGCTTTGTACCATCAAAGACAATCAATTTAGTGAGTCGCTCCTTCTCTGGCTGTCGGCCAGAGACTTGAGAATTTCTCTTGCCACTCGTATTTTGCCACCATCTAATACCCCCTTTCCCATTTATATTCCTCTTCTTTTTACCAAAGGGAATAACTCTGGTACAACCTTCGACTGTCATCTAAGGTCCTGGCAGACACTTTAATCCCATGCTCGCTCAAACCGTCTTACTTAATTCTCGATATTATTGAAAGCCACGAAATACCAAGATATTCTTCGAAGTTCCTACGCTCTTCTCATTTCCGTGTGGGTAGAACAAACATATCGGGGAAACACTACTAGGAATATTACCAGTTGTAGCACGATTACAACATAATGAACTTAGCGATAGCTTTTCCTTCCTTTGAAGTATTATGACAGTAACAGAACATGATAGTTTATTGATCACGTGTTGCAGTATTTCTCGGAAGTGATCCATTGTAACTCCCCCTCAAGATGCCGATTATTCATGAATCGAAAATAGACACCGAGTTTGACTCGACAGAATGCCAACACTGCTGTCACATGAAAGTCGATAATATCTCCACACTATGAAAATGTTATGCGGTCCGAGGAGAAATTTGTTGAATCATCATCAATTTCTGGTGGATAATTTTCGTTGTTTGGCAAAGTACTATCGATTCACCTACCACTCGGTTCATTACTCAATCATCATTTCATCAAGCTATCCAATAATGTCATAACCTTTGACCCACTTGGTGCTGGCTACCACTGTACTTTGGGGTAAAGCTCATCTAGGTTATAAATATTCGAAACAGGTGGCTAAATTGGGATTCTATGCAACGGATATTTCCGAGAATGGGGTGATGATATTATTTAGAAAGTTGGAACGAGAATAGCTTAGCCTGGAGTCAAACAATTGGATAATTTTCAGTGGAGTACTATCTTTAGGGAATAATTAGGAGTAGCACCCCATGGATTAATTATTCCCATCTCTTCGGTCGAAATGACCTGCCTCTTGTTTCCATCACTAATTGTTGTGTGTAATGACGACAATTAGTTGAACGTAAATGTGTTTATCAATAGGTGATAGCTGTTGCTATCCCCTCCACTCGACCTTTCGACTAACAGTTTGTAAGGTCAATGACGTAAATAATGAAAACCCATTTCATGTTAATCAGCTGACGTGCGCTCACTGGGTCACCTGATCAAAATAAAATGGCTATCACTTTTAAATGGTAAAAACTCATGGATCGTGTATAAGTGGAGTGCTCTGACATGGCCAGATCTGCTGTCAGTGATATCAGGTTATGGCCCATGATTATACACCGTGGATCGAGCCCTGCTCTTTATTTATGCAAGCTCACTGACTTATGTGCCATAACTGATTGCACACAAGCGGGAATATTTAGGTTTTTTTTTCAATGGGGAAATAGAACCTTCGTGGGATGATTGACGTCCGGAACAGCTGGATTAAAATGTTAGATATTCATTTTACGGCTCATTATTGATGTAGAGACAATTACGGGATGAATTATTGCAAGCGTAATTGGTCCTCCAGGAGGACTGCTCGTTCGTGGAAATGGTAGGGACCAATATTGATTCGTTATCAATACCATTTAATATTACAAATTGACTAGAGGGAAGAATTTCGAATTTGGGACTTGACCGTGACGCACTAACCTAGGTTATAACGTTGGAAATTTCTCCTTTCGAAGACGTCAGAAGATTTCATCGGACGGATAATAATCCCCGACTGGATATTCGAATGGATTCGTGATGGAGTTGACAATGATTCCGTAATTACTTTCACTTCATTGAGAAGCATCATCATCGGGTGAATTTTCAGAGATAATTTCATGACAGAAAAATATGTCTTCACGGTATCTAGGTGGTAGTTAGGTGAGGTGAGTAGGCCAAGGCTGGACATGCTGGTCTACGTTGTAGCCGGGGATATCTTTTTCCAGCTTGTTTACTCGTTCACTCTGTCTGCACATTACCAGGGCTGTTGCAAATACACGTACATTGTCGGTACTTATTTATACACTACGCCAGTGATACTCTCTCAATACCGTTCAATGCTTTCTCAGGGGCAATTAAAGCTCGTGTTCATTATTCGCCAACTCCCTACGTGTTGCTTCTGCGTAGTTTGGAATTATCATTGTCAGTCGCCGAATAATTATGGATGTGATAATGTTTTTGAATGAAGACTGCAATTAGATGTATCGAAAATTAATCGAAATCCGCTTCCGAATTTTCACCAATTCCTTTCGAGTAATTCAATTATCCTCACACGTATTATTTCCTTCCAACCGAAAAACGCAGTACATACGGGCTTTTTTTTTATTTCCTTTTTTTTTTTGCGAAACACACCTTACTGGCACTGTAACTGCATTATGAGAGGACTTTCAAGGCAACTCGGTATGCCTGTGGCTGTATCCCATCCCCAGCAATTATCGGTGCTAAATTTTTACGATGTACCGGGTAGGGTATAATGCATTTGCCAGAAGGAGAAGAGTCGGCTCCATCCTATAGACCTCTACCAAAATTGCAATATTCATTTTTACTCATTCAGAGCTTGTGCGGGAGAGTATGGGGGAAGAACGGAAGGTTAAATGGTTGTTTTGGATCACAGAGAGGAGAAAGTTTTAGTTTTTGGAGATAGAGCCATAATTTTTGGGCATTCTCCGGAATTACCTGCATCAGCCTAAATATTAGCCTAAAATCCAAGAATTTTTATTGTGGAGCCTTTTTTTAATAACAACCCAGTTTGTCTCGATTTTGCGATTAACTTGTAGATTATCGATAATCATCAATTCGGTGATTCGATGATTTAATTATAATTAAGGTTTAATTATCGCTAGTTCAGTTGGATATTTATGGAAATTGGGGGAATTTTCTCGAGAATTTATGAATTTTGCGAGTGAAGACTTTAGAACTCTTCTCATTAAATTTTAGAACGGCAAATCGCTGGGGTTAGAGGCCAGTCTTTTAAGGATAAAAACTTTTTTTTCTCACTGAAGACGTTGGTTTGCATTTAATAAGGATTATGAAGTGGAGATTATCGGCGATAAACGAGATTTGAAAATGATGATGTACAGGGGTTAGGATGGGTGGTTCTCTACCTGCTTGTTAGAGTTGATCAGGCCCCGGGGGATTTGAGTGGATACGGCAGGTATGCAATTCCTGCAGATGTTGAGGTATCATCAGTGGTCAATAAATGTGAGTTCGGAAGTTGAGTTGCTACTTTGTCAATGGTTACGGTATCTCATCAAGAGCGAGTTCTTGATTATTATGAGAACTGATTGAGCTGTCAGGTACGCGTAAATACGTCAACTCGACATTGTTTATTTTTTAATTCATATTCTCTACTCGCTCTATTTTTGGACAGAGCTGAGAAGAAAAGAGAAAGAGGCAATTTCCAAATGCTCCAAATGAGGTTAAATGATTTCAATAATTGTGAACCGATCTGTCCGTATTTTCGATAGGGTTTGGTTGCGGAAAATTTGTCTTGGGTTCTTGGATTCTTGGGTTGAAATGACATCAAGACTTGACCAATGGTCACTCTTTGGCGACACGAGAGACTCGTGAGATGCCGGTCTGGAGAGAGCGACCTTGAGAGGCTCGGTTTTACACCAAGCAAAAAAAAATCCAATTAAAAATTTAATTGAACTCAATTCCCAATGACTGATTTATAATTTGCGGGGGATCTATTGTTTTTAATCGATATCTAGGATTTCCTGAGAATGAGAGATTTGGTAGTTCTGGTTGATTCGAATTTAACTGATTTTTTCATCTCTCGATTTGGAGAGGACGTCGAAGATCGTGGGTATTTGCGCCAGATTTGTCGACGTAAAACGAAAAATGTAGATATGTATGGGAGACAACGCCAAAGGTGCTCTCGTGACCGATAATTGTTAACTGGACCGTGTGGGGATTCGACCTTTCAACCTGACCAGCCAACCCTAGATGAGCCAAGGGCAATCTCAGACGGCACGAGTCGAACGTGATGAGACCAAGCTTTATTGGGTCAATTTAAAAATATATTCTCGCACAATCCACTCTCGCTGACACTGTAATAACCAGACGGGGGTATTTATATTTCATCCACTTTGAGGATATTGCTGGGAGATTTCTGGTTGTGGCATTCCATACTGCGGATGTCGAGGAGACGAAAAGCTCAACTCGTATCTGAAACTTTTGGGGTATCGATCCAACACTAGCGTACACTCGCCTTTATGGGGGAAATTTTTCATTTTATCTTGTTTATGCGTGTTTAGGGTGTTTTGGAAATTCCACGGATTTATGTTTATGGATGTTTCTATCCCTGCGACAACTAAAGTCGTATGTCCGCCCTTTTGCTTTTAAGTCGATTAACTATTTTCCGTGGTATTTTTATCTTGAAATTGTTTATTTCCATCTTCTTCGTGGAATTATATTTGCAAATTGTGAATTTTGCAGTTATTGAAAAATTCGGTCGATTATTATTTCAGAAATTTATGGGAAATTATTTTTATTTGGATGGATTACTTATTCGTAAGGGGTGAACATTGAAAAAAATTAATGTAATTAGCACTAATTGATTGAATTGTTTCACGATTGACATTCACGTGTAGTCACGCAATTTGCTCTGATTAATTAAGGTAGGCTTTGATTTTGAACGAGTGGAAATTGTACAAATCGTGACGAATCACACTCGACGCTTTTGAAAACACTTTCTCACATAATCGTCTAATTGCTATTTATTTACACCCTTATCTCAGGGGTGTCGAAGGCCACCGGATCGCGTACTATTGATTGATTTATCACGTTGTGACAGTGGTCGAGCCCAGATTGTATGAACGAAAAAATATGGGTCACAAGAGGGGCTCTACTCGGCACCTGATTTATATGATGATGCTTTCATATTCGTGGCAGTTGTGTTATTATTCCATAACGATCCAATTACCTTCCTATGAAGATCTGATTAATCCCTAATCCCCCGCCATTGAAAAAATAACATGGACCTCCATTACTCAATGAAAATTATTCCATTGTTACAATTGAATCCCTCAATCAGGTCTTCACTATCAATTATTGTGACAACGACCGATAATAAATAATCCGATTTCTATATTTATTAACACAAGTAATTCGATAACGAAGTAATAAATTTTCATAATTATCGGTGTACCTCGGAAAGAATTAATGTGATGTGAAAACGGAGAAGGAGTCTTTAGTTGATTTGATTTTCTATAAAAAACGTTGTCAGATAAATCGATGATATAAAACCGATTTCACCTCTTTGGTATAGAATTTGTGGAAATTGTCAAAGTTTTTTAAACGATCATTTCTTGAATTGCAGATTGGTTTCCAAAGATGTGCTCGTGCTTGGAGAGTGGCAATCTGGGCCTGGCGAATTTTCCATCTGGCCAGGGGAGAAGTTACAAACGACTTGGTTCTGGTCCAACTCTCTTCGATCTCAGCGAGTTTATGCAGAGAACGAGAAGATCGGACCTATCCCAGGACGAAACCATTGACGATGAGAGACAGGCAGAGATAATATTTCACAACACTGACCTTACGTGGACTACAATTGTCGTTGAGAAGAATTTACGTACGATGGATCTGTGTGAATTGCTCAAGGTGAAAAATCGAGCCAGTGGAATGGACTGGTCGATTATCGAGACGTGGACAGACCTCGGAATCGGTGAGTTAGAGTTTCACTGCTGATTCACAAGCCACAAGTCATTAAAAATTCCCCTCCAAAGCCTCCCTCATTACAACCGTTAAGTGCTCCACGTCCGATTAAGTTGGAACTGCCTAGTGATCCTCCAGCTTTTCTCATTAATCTACCTTTTATCCTCCCATTGACATTTTCATGTTGCCCAGTCTAATTGCTCCTCATTTTTCCATCATTTTTTTAAATAAAAAAAAACAGCAAAAGATCAATAATTCACTGCAGTGACAAAATTCATTTCTATCAGACAAACAAAAAATCAGTAAACGTCACTAGGGATCGGGGAAATGCGCAATTTTCTTTTCTGGCTAGTAAAAAAAAAATGATTCAATCTTCGTGATTAATCCCCGGAATTTATCGATGATCTGTCGATGACTTATCGCGGACAAGAGCATGAGTTTGTAATATCGCGGATAAGTTCTCATAAACCTGAATTAACGCCGGAGTGGATTGGCGTACGATGTAGCGCATGCGCATTTACAACGCGGGAATCGACTTGAGACAGGTGTATATGGGTGTACGTATTGGTGACCATAGTACTACGGAATGATGCGCATGCACGTGAGTGGAATGGCCATGATCACCGTACGAGGTGAAACGATACTCGTACCTTGGTTTGTGTGGGTTGCTGGGTGGTTGAGGGGGGAGACAATAACATCCTTGCGCACGCGCTATTGGAGAGTCAGGACAAGGGACATCGAAGGTGGGGATAATAACGTCTCGTAGGGCATCGTCCTGGCATCGATGTAAACAGTCGGACGATAACAGTGGCACAAGGGCTAAATAAAAGGCATGAAAAGGTGAAGCAAATAATGCGATGAAAATGGCGTCGCCGGGCTCTCACCTGGGAGTGAGTTTTTTTTCAGTTGCTCATAGTATACTCCATTATAGATTAGACATAGATAGGGTTGAAAGTTTTAAATTAATTGGGGTTTAATTATGGGATCGTAGGGTCAAGAGCTCTTTCTTGAAAAATTTTTTGGGTCAACATGACTATTTAATTGAGTTTCCATTGGGAATACATTTTGATTGACTCTGATTCGCACAATGGGGAGAATATTTTCAGATCGTTGACGGGTTTTTCGGTGGGGGATTGAGGGAAAAGTTTTTCTTTGTGCTGAGGGATTTGAATAGCTCGAACTTTATCGGGGTAAAGTTTTTGTGTTGATATTAGGTGGTTCGGATATGTTTGGATTGGGATATTTGTCGGTGGGACTTGATATTTTTTATTCTTTCTTTAATACGTGGAGTGGTTTTAACATACTGTTGCTACTTGTCGCTGAACTCTCGGTTTATCAATTTCAGAATTAATGACGAAGTTGGTATTTTAGGTTGTCTCATGGAAATATCAGAACTTGGTGCATTCGCTCAGGATGACCTTACCTGTAGTTATTCGAAAGTTGGTTGAAGTGAAAATAGTGGTATTCCAATTTACCTGGAGAATTTCACGGATCGGGTACTGAATAATTAGGAAATTCGGGTGTAGTTGTGTTTGAGTTAGCTGTGGAACTTTCACGTGGACAGACAGAGGATTTGTTCGCGTTATGTCGCAATCCGGAGAGACTAGACTTTTGTATTATATTACGAGGTCGTTGGATGTTGATAATGGGTTTATCCTCAGGGACGTGGGGTATCATGCAGGTTGTGCAGACGGTTTTAGATAATTTTTAGGATAATTAAGTATTGCTAGCGACATTGTTTAATGCAGTTCTAGTGAGTTGGATGGGCTTCGATGATGGAAAGTGGGAGAATATCTTTCATTTTAAAATGTAATTACCGATGGACTTGTGATCCCGACAAGAGGGACATGTTCTCGAATCCACAAATAGCAGCGAAAGGCAATGTTTTGGTTGAGAGACCTCAATATACAGCGTCTTCCGCAATCGATATTCACAAATTAGGTCTGTGTTGTGGTTGTCTCAGGTCAGGAAAGTCCTTGATTGTATATTTATGAAGTGGTGATCCTGGTCTGATCACAAATGGGTTCGATGGATCAAATTAACAAACTGCTTTTAATGACAGTACAAGTCAACCCAAAAAAATTCTCGTTGCAAATAGCCAATCGCAGTTGTTCGTCTTGATATTCATTAGTTCACCAGTGCAATCAGTTAATGATCGATCAATGAAAAAAGGCACAATGGGTTGCATGCATCGCGGGAATTACACCTGCCACATGCTCCAGTATTTTATCCTCATAAAATTTCATTTGCATAATTGGCATAACGTTTTAATGAGGGCCGGGACTGCATCTGATTCATCTCGAGTACAAGTCCTTCCGATTTTTTTTTTTCAGAATTACCAACATTCTGGAATAAACTCGTATTGATTGAAACGTGGAAATTAAATGTCAAATACTCGGCGATATCAATATTTACCGCTGATGCAACCTCTCTTTCTAATTGATTAAATTCCCCGAGTCGAGTTTTCAGAATAATACGCAGTTTTGTTCTACTCTCGGATCACCTGTTTCTATGAAATATTCCGCTCTCAATGTCATTTTTATTTGTGTTTTCAGAGCGAACGCTCGAGGATCATGAGGATATACTCGTTGTTTACAAGGAAATGGAACTCTTTGCGTCTCATCATGAGAGGAGATTCTTTTTCCAGAGAGATTTCATCAAGTATGAATTTTTCATCAATCCAAAGGTACGTTTATACATTTTTCAACATGATTCTCATTTAAAAAATTGGAAAAGTCACTGCTATGATTATAATTATCAATATTCTGAGGGACTAATGCAATTACCACATATGTCCGATAAAATAGAGCTCTGTATATTTTCATTTATCTGCTGTACGTAAGGAAATACCAATTGGCCGTATAATACCGACTCATTGCTGGTGGTCGGTAAAGTAGAGCTACTATTGTTTATCTTTTGTGAACCTAATAGAGAGAATCTTCACCAACTGAATTGCACGTCAGCGTCGGAATCTATATTTAGTCTGATGAATAATAGCAACAAATAAAATAAACGCATGTGCACCTGTTGGTGGGAAAAATCTCGTGTAATTTATATCACTAAAAACGAATTGATCTATACACTTTATTGATGTCAACGGTGACTTTTGGCAAGAATTATGTACTATTAACAGAGTTTAATTAATTATAACTATCGATATTGCGCCGTCAATTAAAATGCATGCAAGCCCGATGCATTGCCTCCATTCAGTTACGATATACTCAGCAGAATGTACAATTAAAAAACCATTAAAAAACCATGAGAGTTGAAGTTTGGCTGATATTTTTACACGGCAATTCAAATTATGCAATTACACTTCATACATTAATGACAATGAACTGCCATTCTGGGGCTCACCAATTGCGCATTACGATGGGTTTCAACAATTACTTTTAATAATACAGGCACTCTTTTTTTGCAATATGTTGCAGCAATTCTTTCCACCGGATATGGTTGCACTACCCAATTTCGAGGAGAGAAATTTTATGAGCAGCTTCGAGAGTAAACTCAAAGTAAGACCAATTATATTAAGTGAATTTCTCATTCTCTCTACCATTTTGTTTCCATGCAACGCTTGAATAAAGTCTCGAGTGGTGGAATTAATGATGGGGGAAAGAATGAGGGAATCCATTGAAATGAGTCACTTCGTAAAACAATTGTTTTCTCGAAAATTGCAGGATCACCTCATGCGAAATGACATGGAGTGCCCCAACGTGTTCAGTTGTGTCTGGCTGAGGGGTAATAATTCACATATTTGGAAGAAGGCGTACATGCTGCTGCAGGATCGTAAATTGTACATCGTGAAAAAGGTAAGCACTTGTTCTCTTCTAATAATTGCGCAGACCGGGAATCCACTCGTTGTATCACATTGAATCATTTAAAAACACCAGATTTATGTACACATATGCGAGGTGCATCTCCATAATGGCTGAACTATGTAAATGATATTGCAGAGAACTAGTGTAATATGAATAGCGATCGAGGTTGAATTAGAAGCAAAGTATGCTTTGTTCGTAGAAGCCTAGGGTTAAAAGACTAATTGCGTGTGGGATTAATTTTCAATACAAAGGATACAATATTGTGCTATAATGAAGGGAAAATTTTGTTGAAAAGTAGTGGGAGAGTGGTAGATAATAGAAAGCCTATTCTACGTTCACCTCCGTGTTCCAATTACTCTGATTCGTTGGACATTGAAGACCCGGTGTGTACTCAACAATTCATTGCAGCCAATGTCATTTTTCGATAATACTAAACCATCGCGGTACCAATCAATAAGTAGAAATTGTCATTTGATTGGATACAGTATGAATATTTCAAAGAGGTACGACGAAAATGCCAAGTTAACTCGCATCACGCGATTGTCAATGAACAGTTTCATCACCCACCCTCGAAGCTTGTCGATTGCGCTGTCCCACTCATAGATTACGAATCCATCGCGCGGCAATGTTGCTTTGTTTTTTTTTTTTTTTTGAGAAAAAAAAACTGCCCTGGTACAGACGTGCTTTTTGACAGGACTATCCGCTCGATAGTGAAATTGTGAGATTAGAGCCGTATAAATTTTGACCGCCGGTTCCTGGGATCGAATCCGGATCATTGGCATGCTAGTCTCTCTCACCCGACGGCCACTACCTTTGGTGAATAATAATAATAATCACTCATCATTCATTCGTCAGCCACTATTCGGCCTATCTCGCTTACCCGTTGTCGTTCATCTGAAAAATAAAAAGGTGGTATTGTTTCACCATGTACCATGCCGATTTATCGACGGTTGCTCAACGGAGCATGCACCGGGACTCTTAATCACTAGCAAGCGGCAATAAACCGCGCTGCACGAAATTCTCTTGTCCCGGCATTCGCAGTGCGATCCCTGAATTTACAGCCAATTGGTTACATCGTACTATTTCTCACCATCCCACCATCTCCATCACCATGAATTTAGGTGCTTTTATAAGCTATGTAATTGCAATAGCACAGAAAAGAAAATCCCTTTGGTTGCTAGGACAACGTGCACAATTTTACCAGTTTATATGAGCTTGATAACAGAATTTGTCCCCCTCACTCTCCCCATTTCGCCATTTTCCACCTCTGTTCATATCTGTCTATATCCCGGGGTTCATCCCTTTTTCCCCGCACGCGCGGTATGCCAATCGATAACCCAAGCTTTCGCCAAAGCACCAGCAATATTATATCGAATTGCTGGTTATGGCCCATTTTCCATCGGATCGGTTGTACCCCTCAGTTGTGGCTCTTCACTCTTGATCCCCAGGGCTTTTGTCGACGAATGCGTTTCAAATCAAAATGAAAATTGCGGAGATGATGCTTATAGCATCTAAACATACCACAATATCGATAGATTTACTCATCAATCGTTCAATTTTCAATTTTTATTTCTCTGGTAAATTATTAACATCGGGTTAAACGAACTCCATTCCATTTTCGTTATCTCTCTGAGTGTTTTTACCTGAAATAATGGTTAATTATCAAATAAGATGGAGAATGATAATGGAAGGCCATCGTAAATATCATTGATATATGAGTAGCAATGTAACAATACACTGCTGTGAGAAATAAAATTGTTGAGCGGTTGTGGATGTAAGCAGCGGGGAAATGGTGAAACTCGAGTTTCGCGACTCAAGGAAACGGAGGGCGAGCATGCTGCTCGGCAGTATTTCAATCCTTGATAATATATAGCTCGGGGGAATGACGCTTTATTGCTGCAACGATAACTCCGAGACTCGGGAGGAGTTGAGGGGTAGGAGGGAATAAAGGGTGCGGGTCATAGTAACTGCTAAAGCTACAACGGGTGAACGAGCGATGGCAATATGCAGTTGCGTGATTACCACTGAGAACTACCGAACCTTTTCAATCATCCCAGCCAAGATTTTGTCTAGTAGCTTATTTTTCATCTTCTTCATTTTTTTTTAAAACTACCAAGGCATCCTCCTAATGAATTTCTCGTAGAGTTGATGGAGTTGGGATCCTGGATTTTAGTCGGATTTATCGGTGAATTACAGCTTGTTGCACCGTCAAATTGAGTTGTGAGTGAATTCATTCGGTGGTAAATGGATTTTCTTCTCATTGAATGATGCCTGCGCTTCATTTCATTGGATAATGGCCTAACAAGGTGTAGCTTGATTGAGACGTTGAATTACCAATGACGCAATTCTATAGGGGCCCTGGTAGTTGTCGCGTTCGTGTCGTTTATTTGGTCAAACTTGTGGTGAATTTGGTATAGCTTGTTCTGGATTTTCTCGAGCAGCGGTGAATCAGAAAAATCCATAAAATGTCGTGAAAGCTCAATGGGGGAGAGGAGTGAAAAAGGTGGGGTGGAATGGCTGGCAGTCGGGTGGCAAACAAGTATGACTGATGATCTTTAGTACCGTAAAACGCTGATATCGATGGCAACATATATGTCCAACCGAGTCTAGGTGCAATATCGTCGGTCATGTTTACCACAGAAATCTTCAATCAAATGAAAAGTCATTTCATGGGGACGATTTTATTCTTTTCTTAATGGTGACACATATCCTCGTCAACAACATTCCATTTTATCACTGCAATTGACTTCTGGATTATTCAATGGGTGTATTTATTACCTTGATGAAAGGATACCGGTGTCAACAATCGAGGGGCTTTCGGGGTTTGTGACTCCAGTGAAAATATACCATTGATCGAGATTTCCGTTCGATTGATTTCATTCTGGGTTAAGTAGAACATGGAGAGTATTCAACTGGGAGTATTCACACAGGGTTACGGGAACATCTGCCCGCTCAATTTGAGGATCTCACATTGTTCACCGTTAACATGCGTTGACCATGTGTCAGCTGTCATCATTGAGTTTGATATGCAAGGCATTGCGTTGGCATCTGAATCAGCCGTCACGGCTTTCTCACTTTCCTGTCATGTTGAAAACCAGGAAGCACTTGAGATATTAGACAATATCGGTAGAGAACTCATTCTGTCATTATGAAGAATCGTTATTTATAAGGTGCACCGGTTTTAGACGTTTAATTGGTGCTCGGTTGATGATCGTCGCTGAAATTTAACCGGGAGCTGGCCAATTTTCGGTTATAGCCATGACATGAATTTTTCATTGAATAACGGCTACTCCGTTGCCCTCAAGTTCATCAATCAAATTTTCAATATTGAACAGCTGGTGAAATCGACTATTTTGTGATATCAGAATTTCTCGGCCAATGAGAGGACAATAAGCCGGATTTCTCAAACGTATAGTGGTACTAGTGGCACGATTTCCAACCCCCGGCGTTCCATTGTGCTAGACAGCTGACAATGGCACGCGCAATGAGCGATACTTGCTGCATAATGCGAGACTCACTCTGTGCGATGTGCCTCGTGCTGCAGTGCAGCTGGTTCACGACACCCCAAAGGGTTAGTCTTTCTCTTCCCACTGAATATCTCTCTCGCATCTATTTCAACCAAACACATTCAAAACTACTGTGTACAAATGGGTGGAGGAGCCATCCGTTGCTCCAGCGTAACCTCAACTTTCAGAAGGAAACTTGTGTTGCCCTAACTTCTCCAGGGACAATCGTTCTTTTCAAGTCATCCAACAATACGGAAGGAATACATTATTTTTTACTGTCGACAAATGGCAATTATTATTTATCTGGGTCGATTTTTTCTAAGATGATAGGCTTGATCAATCAAGGAAGAAGTGGATTCTCTTTCTTTTGGTGAATTATGGTTGGTTCTAGGGGATTGAGGAATTGGCAGGAATAGTCAAGCAGGAATAGTCAAATAGTTCATATCTAGATGACTGGTTGGTTGCGTATACGTCATTGTTATTAATAGGCTCTTGCACGCGCTGTCAATTAGGCAAATCCCATCGTATCGCGAGACAGCGGTGTCCGCTGTCAGTGGAAAATCCAACTCGTACCAACTCTAGAGCCTCTGTGGTTAGAAGTCTATAACATACCGGAGTTCCATTAGCTAAATTATGGTGGTTCCCCCGTGTACAACCTACCTATACTGCACTGGGAGTGGCATTCATAGTTACAAACTTTTCACCATCAATGCACAAGTTTACGAATGACATGATGATATTTGGAGGATTGTGAGGATAATTTTATTACGAAGTGTAATATGATGCCTGAGTGCATTATACTCTGAGGAATAGCTGAGGAATTCATTTCGGAAAATCAGATTTTCTGTCGGCTGCTCAGGTGTTACTCGGTGTCTCGAATTTTGTCAATTCAGCGGTACACCCGTGGCTTTTGTTACGCGGACGTTGCTGGCGGATATTTTATCAACGGGTTGCGAGGTTTTGATACGGAAAATCAGTGCAGTCGCGTGGACACTGGCTTTTCGGGGAAAATAAAGGGCAAAGTATGCTTCACAGCCTCTTTTGGCAAGTCGAGCAGAAGGGACCGAAGGGCTTACGTTTGTCATGTTTTTTTTTTTTTTTTTTTTTGCATTTTCAGTCTCGAGTAATTTATATTTTTAAGCATGAAAAATTCACCGCGGTTTTAACAATATTTATTATAATGAAACCTTCCGAATTGTTCGTGGCATTTTTAGAGAATACTTTTGGCGATTTTAAAATTTTTTTATGTCGGTATGATCTCGAAAAATTGATTTCACGATTTTAATTAGTTATTGACGTTTTAACGAGTCCTACGCCAGTGGGTAAAAATGTGGGGAACGTGATACGCTGAATTACATCTCGGTGGATCGAAATACGAGAGTCGACGGATGAATGATGGAATCAGCTGGGTTAATCTGATCGTTTGTAAGCCGACAATATCATCCATTCGGTCTATGCAAAGTTATAGTCGCGGGATAAATAATA